TCTTTCCTTGTTTATTTATCTTTCAATCAAAAAGTTATTCGGCGCGGGGTTTCTCAGAATTATGACATCATTCACATCATGTTTCCAAAGAATGGGCTTTAATTGACACTTCCGATATCGATCAACTCGTTTTGATAGCAGTACGTTTTAAAAAGTTGTTTTTGCCGTAGGCCTAATCAAAGTTGTTTCTTTCTTTTTCTTCTGTAAGAAAAAAGGTTGGATTCGGGAAATCTCCGATTCACGCCACATCAGAGAGCACTTTTGGTTTGGGATTCTTTTCGTGGCCATTTGACCGACGCTGTCAAGGACCTCCTTGCGAGACGAAATGTTGATGTTGCTGTTATTCCTGGTGGCCTGACGTCAAATTTGCAGCCCCTAGACAAGTGCATAAACAAGCCTTTCAAAGCCAAACTCCGAATGCTGTATGATACATGGATGGTAAATGGCCCGTTCACGTATACCCCATCTGGAAAGAAGAGAGCGCCAAGCAAAGAACTGGTGTTGACCTGGATCAATCGCGCCCGTAACGGAATTCCTAAAGATTTAATTGGGAAGTCGTTCAAATCCTGTGGAATCGCGAATGAGCCAGACGGCTCAGAAGACGATGCAGTTTGGGAAGAAGAGGATGAAGAAACGGAAGATGCAGAGGAGATTATTGACAATGAATTCGAGACCGACAATGAAGGCGAAGAAGGAGAATAAAACGTACCTGCAGCACTATTAATAGAACGGTTCTTTTCAGAACTACCAAGTCGAGTAAAGTCAATAACCAATATTCCCAGCCTTTGATCTATTTATCTTGTTTTATACCAGGTTAAAGTTAGAAAATGGGACATTCTTGAATTTCGTTGCATGAAAATACTTGGCTATAGGACGCACCCCGAATCTGAGACAATTCAAAGGTGATGAGGCAAAATTTCTTTGAAAAAATGCTGCGCCTTATAACCGAAAAAATACGGTATGTTATTGCATAAGGTTTTTTTTCTTCAGCCGTACAGGGTTTGACAGTTCATTGTTTTTCGTATTTTTCGGCCGTCAAATTTTAAAATTCGTTATCATTAAGGTTTCTACAGAAAGCGTGTGAATATTGTCCATGTTTGTGCGAGTGCATCATATGCGCAATTTCAACGCAAACCCTATGCACTCATTATTAATACTTTAGCCCATTTTTCATCCATCAATAAAACTTTCCGAAATCAGATCTCAACTGCCATTTCAATAAGCGTTACTTTTCGGCAGACAGTTCAATGAAACTTTGATTTACTCTCCATCAGTTGAGCCTCACACAGGAAATAACTACCTGCGAAAATCTTGTGGGGAAGATAAACTCGCTGCTTATTGGGACTGAAAGTGGCACAGAACAAATGAAGTCAAAAAGGAGAGATTAAAGAAACTGTTTTAAGGAATTCAGTTCATTCTGCTTTAAGTTCTGATTCTTATCTGCGATATTTAGCTTTGAGTTCTCATTGGTCTCCTGTGAAATTCTTCCTTGTTCTAATTGGCTGTTGCGATAACTTTGGTTCTTAATATACGACACTTAAATGCGTTTTATTTGCCAAGGCCAAATTGCAAACCAACGAACTATAGGGAGGGAAGTTATATTACGATTGCACAAGGCATAGTCCGCTTTTTTAGCAATTTTGTTTCAAGTTCTAAACCGGACATTTTAGTTCAGAGTAACGTAATTACCAGACTTAAGTGTCGATTTTAAGCAATGGAAGATATTAGCTACGCTTGTCCTCGCCAAAAATTCATGGAAGATCTGGGAATTCAATGGCGTGAAGGGAAGCCTGATTTTACTCAGGTTAATAAAGCCTATTTAGAGGGTAGGACAAGAATCCATAGGGATGGTTCGTTAGAGAAGATTGTCGAGGATCTCGTGAAATCATGGGAAATGGAAGCTTCGCATAAAACTAACACTGAGGTAAATAGAGAGGTCTTATGTTCTTAAACATAATTACAGGAAAATATGTGATGTATTTAAAAATCAATTGAACTTTTTCTTGATGTCGTGTAATATCTTGTAATCATGGCTAAAGAGAGAATCATAAATTTTCAAAGCTGAGATAAATAAATAGAAGAGCTGATAGTCACTAAGACACAGCATATTTGTGAAACTCATATCGAAAAACAAAGCAAAATTATAAGATATACAACCTTTCATTCACAGTTGGAGGATATTGGAACACTCCAACTTAACTGTGACGACATCTCATTAAAAGCCAAGTCACGTTTTTTAAGCTCATACTTAAAAAAAAATGGATGATAGTATGTACATTGAGGATTGAGTTGAAAGTTGAAACGTTTTCACGGTCTGTTTGTTTATTTATTAATTTGTTTTCGACAAAAGGATTGGCAAAGTGTTGACACAGAAGCTTTCACCATCCGCGGGAACAACCAGCGCTCGTTTACTTTGAAGGAATTGATTGAAGAGGGAAATTACAATGTACTGATGCAAAACCAGCCGCTGTACAACAATACCGATCATTCGTTTAAATCGTCACATGATTTGTTCAGGTCTGCATTCGACCAAGGGTTTCCATGGGAACTGATAGAAGTATTTTCAGGTAAGTTTAGCAAGTACATATTGATACTGTACTCCTTAGTGGAGATGAAACACCTTTATATGACGAGGCTACAAAAACATGCCGAGTTTTTCTAAGTACAGTGATTAGTTTTCACTTATGTGGGTGTTTTGTCCCTCAGGTCCCCCAAAAGTGGCCTTTTCGTGGCGCCATTGGGCCCACTGGACGGGCCCTTACAAAGGAAGGGCCCCAACGGGGGAACTGCTTGAAATGTATGGAATGGCTGTGGCCGAGGTGGACGAGAACCTCAAGATCAAATCAATCGACGTTCATTATGATCCTAACCAGCTTTTGATGAAGTTGGAAGGAAAAGAATTGTTGAAGTAGCTGCAGAAGCATTATAAATGGTTAAGTGTCCTCAAACTTTGTTGCTCATCAAAAACTGTCCGTTCGATAACATTAACGGGAACAAAAACCGCGTTAGTGAATAAAAACTCTTGCGAATCTCAACTGGGAGAAGTCACGAAAACAAACAAAAAAAGACAATCATAAGGTTCCTTTAGCCACCATCGTTCCCAGGGTCTCTCTTAACTGTCTCTCTCTCATCGACGACGGAGGTAACAGAAACGGGATTTTCCATCACATTGTTTGAGGGAAAACTATGTTGGGAATAAAGGAACCCACACTGTCGCTTTTCCCATTCAGATTTTGATTTCTTGGATCCTCTCGCGAACACAACAAAGTTATATCTCAGACTGACTAAAACTACAATCAACCGTTCTTTTATCTTATGGACACACCTTGATCAAACGTAAGGTGATTTCCTATAAAGATCTCTCAGACAAAAGATAAACAGACTTATTCATCAGAGCCGACATAACGTGACGCTCGATTTCTAGGCCGATTTTTCACAATTATTACATTAACATTAGCTTAACTCAGTACTAAGTATCCTATTTCCGACATTTAAAATATTTTTTTATTTTGGTTCTTTAGGAATTCCGCGGCGCAAATACTCAAGCGATAGAGCGCCGTCTAATAGTTTATCATAAATACAGAGTCATAGTTCTTTGCTCTCAGAATATTTTGTTCAGTGCGTTTAAGTTTGCATCAGTAAATTCATAACATGATACTGTTGTTTCAAGTCATTTTATCTGCTCTGATTAAGTTCTTGTTTGTTAAAGCACGGAAATGAAGACTAATTTCTTTAATAGTTTATTTAGATTAAGATAACTTCTTTACAAACTAGAGGAGAGCAGTCGGAGTGCTAGCCTTGGGACTCAGAGGTCTTGGGTTCAACTAAATCAGTCTGGCGCTTACCAAACTATTTCATGGGTTACTTCGAGTCCCTCCTTGACGGTATTCTGTAATTGCGTTCGACGAAGGAGAACGCATACTAATCGTGTCGTTTTAACGGAAATCACTCTCGAGGGTTTTATGGACCAGTCCCAAGGGGACCGATTGTGATGCAATGTGATTTCAGGCATTGGGCGCAATTTTGGACCGGCGGACTGGCTGGCTGGCTATGTGGCACAAATAGCCTCGATCTCATGTGCAAATGTTTTCTTGGCCGCCTTGAGCTGAAGATACCGATTTTTTTTTTCTGCGCAATCAGTACAATGAAAAAACCTTTTATTAGAGATCGAACGCACTTTACTAATCTAGTTAATAGTTAATAAATAGATTCCATGTTACTGTGCACCTGTTCAGTGATTACAGATGACGTCAAAATGTGAAAAGAACAAAAAAGTGGCAAACAAGGCGCAGTCGAGTGTGTCAGTGATGTTTTTATGACATTTTAACTTTTTTTGTGATCTCTTGCTAGTTGAACAGACCCACGGCAGGAAAATGGAATCATTTTGTTTTTATATAATATAATAGTTACCGCATCTCTACGTCTGTCCACCAATAATTCATGAAAATCTGATTAAAAAAAACAATAAAAACGCATGTATAGTTCATCTTATTACATGAATACAACTAACCATGTGACCTGCTTCCCGCCACTTCAGACTTTTAACAAATCTTTTGTCTATTTGAAGTGTTTTTCTACTCTCTATTTACATTTGCCTTGGAAAACTCGCCGATTACATTATCATGTTAAAATAAACCACTTCTCTTCTCTTATTTTATGTCTTTTGAATTAGTTCTATCTTAATTTGATTTATAATAAAGTTCGGACATAACGCGCGTTGTCATCAGTTGAAAGAGCGTGCTCTATGAGAGTAGAGAGCATAGAGCTGAGCTAAAGCTGTCACGTCATCTGTCAAATTGTTCTATGTTCGACCTTTACCGACACTTTTCTCTGTTTTTTTTTTCAGACAAAGGTTTGTTTACACAGCTACACTTGCGTAGTATATATAATTCCGTGTTCAAAAGCAAAACAGAACAAAACAGGAATGTTGAAAAATATGCCAAACTGGAAGAACAGAGCACAGTCAAGGCTTCTCTATTTGTTTTATAATAAAGAATCCGTTAAATTTCCCACGCATTACTTTCAATTTCCAACACAAATTTCATTTCTAAAGCGAACAACAATGTCGTCAGCGTGCTCCAGACTCTCATAAAGCACGCTACAATAAGCCAATAAGAATCCCTGTTAGAATGGTTCAAATAATCTAATTGGCTGTACAAGACTAAAACTGTCAAAATGTCAAACCATCGAAGTTCAAAAACCATCAAAGTCAGTCACATTCTGCAACCATACTCGCTGCAGTAAGTAGGAGCTAGCGAGGGGTCCAGTATTTTGATAAGTGCCAATTAAAGGTCTTTGTAGGAATTTGTTGTACTGTGATTACGTCAAGATAAAGGAGGGGCTCCATTATTACAAACATTCCGGAAATATCGTCATAGGCAGTATATAAACAAGAAAGTCTCTCCCGTTCTCGAGTTGCGTTTATCACATCAGGGTCATCTTCCCTAGACGCTGTTTAAGGTGAGCACTGTTCAAAACATATAGTTATCACTACTGCTGGGAAAGTTTTCACTGCTGATAATCTGTTATTAAGAAGTTAACTGATGTTTATTGCACTAATATGTTATATTATTCATCGATATACCTTCTCCAGGTATCTAAAAAAAGGGAACTTGAAAATCAACAAAACTACTACTATGGGAAAATACTTCATATATTCCTCCGTTTGAAATGATCCTATAAGATGACCTGCAGTTTTGACATACTTTCATTGTACGTTTGCTTTCTAAGAGAGGAGTGCATGGCCAAGACCAGAAGATCTTAATATTGCTTTTAAATATTCACTTAAATAATCCATTATGTAACACAAATCGCAAATTGCTATTTTAACGTTTGTGTACGTGTTCGCGGTTGATCAAATGAATCCTTGCCGTCATCCTGCACAGCCTACGCACCATGTAGTATTCAATTCATGTTCTTTGGAATGCTTTTATGCGTTACATTCTTTGTTAATGCTCTCCTGCTGAATTACGTTCTTATTCAGAGTCGTTGCAGTCATCTGCTGTTACATTTAATTTAATGGATGTTAAGGTGAATAAAGCTTGAACTGCTGAATTCTGAGGTGATTAACATGCACGAACTGCAGGTCTTTATGAGACCACTCGACCGCGTGTCGTAAAAAAAAGGGTGCTGATTGTGGCCGATTGTGAATAAAAAGAGGCAAAATGTAAGTCAAAAAGAGAAGATTTAAACAAACTGTTTGAAGGAATTCTGTTTGCCCCGTCAAACACGTTTTAATCCTTGTCTACAGCATTTAATAATTATTGGACGAGTTCAAGCAAATAAGGTGATTCATATTCTTAGAGGAATAAGTTGGTGAAATCATGGGAAATGGAAGCTTCACATAAAACTAACACTGAGGTAAATAGAGAGATGTTATGTTCTTTAACATAATTACCCGACGGTTAATACTTTCTGTTAAGTATAACACAATTGTCCTTTTTCTCTCAATATGCATGTGATGTATTCCACATCAATCGACTTTTGTATTAATGCCAGTCAACTGGCGTTGTATGTTCTGCAATCATAGTACAAGGGAGTATGAGGAAAATCAAAAATCTATCTTGCAGAAAGAAAGAAATATCAAATAGATCGTGACCACGGTACAAATTATTTGTGAAACTCATTTAGAACTTACCAACTGAACTGTGTCCACAACATAATGTGAACCAAATCATGTTTTTTTAAGTGGATTCCTAAGTGTTACTTAAGAAAAGTGGATGATAGTGGTGTGTTTGATTTCGTGTATATACAGGTTAGTATGAATAAAAATGAAACCAGGATACGAAGAGAACTGAGATGAAAATTGTTAGTTTGATTATCGTCGCAGAGCCCATCAAAAGAACTTGCAGTAGTAGTGAAATTACAAGATCTACATTTCATTTTATGCACGAACGCACTTTGACTTCATGCTTATCATTTTTTAAAAAAAAGATCTATTCAGATGGTCTTTACTTTCTGTTCTTCTTTTCTTTTTTTTTTTTGCAAAAGGATTGGCAAACTGTTGACACAGAAGCTTTCACCATCCGCGCGAACAACCAGCGCTCGTTTTCGCTGAAAGAAGGGATTGAAGAAGGAAATTATAACGTACTGATGCAAAACCAGCCGCTGTACAACAGTAACGCTCATACGTTTGAATCGTCACATGATTTGTTCAGGTCTACATTCGACCAAGGGTTTCCATGGGAACTGATAGAAGTGTTTTCAGGTAATTGAAAGATTTCAGTGTTAAGGTTTGTTCAGGTTAGCCTCTTGGCTGGCAATACCAAGTCTAGCGGATATATATTGATATTCCTAAGTAGAGATAGATAAACATTTTTATATGACGAGGCTGCTAAAACATGCGGAGTTTTTCAAAGTGCATTGATTAATTTTCACTTATGTGGGTGTTTTTGTCCCCTAGGACCTCCACGGGTGGCCTTTTCGTGGCGCCATTGGGCCCACTGGACGGGCCCCTACAAAGGAAGAGCCCCAACGGGCGAACTGCTTGAAATGTATGGAATGGCTATGGCCGAGGTGGACGAGAACCTAAAAATCAAATCAATTGATGTTCATTATGATCCTAACCAGCTTTTGATGAAGTTGGAAGGAAAGGAGTGTTGAAATAGCTGCAGAAGCAACGTACGTCTACGATGAAGCGTCACATGACGCTCATAGCTCAAAATGGTCCAAAAACTGTCTGTTGAATTAAATTTAAGAGAAAGAAAATAGCTTTAGCGCATAGTAACTCTGTGGCTTGTTTGCGGTAAGCAAGAAATATTTTTTAACTAGGAGACGTCATGGTAGCAATTAGAAGACGGTCTTGAGGTTTCTTTAACCAACATCGTTCCCAGGATCTCTCTTACTCGTCTCTTTGCCGGATTGACGACGGAGGTAACAGGAACGAGATTTTCCACCACACTGAGCAAGCGAAGACTGACCCATGTTAGAATCCCTTGGTGCAAATATTCCAACATTCCAACAGTACAATTCAACATGGCCTTTCCACACATAATATTTTCTGTTAGTGTATTCAAGTTTTAAATGGTCAATTAATTCATTACATGATACTGTTATTTCAAATCATTTATTGCACGGTTTTAAAAGTTCATGCTTTGCAGAAGCTCATAGGGTTCTTTACACTGTAACAGCTGAATGCATTTAAGACTGCACAGAGAAAAGAATCTTACTCGGGACTGCTTCACTGACCAAACAGTTTTCAAACAGTCTGTCATTAACATGAGCCACGTCTACAATAACTTGATAATTTCTAAAACAGCATTTTACGTGCTACTTCGCTTCATTTATACTTTAAACTAATAATATTTCTTGAATAGAGTTTGTAACTTAGATTCTATGTTCTATTATTCTCTAGATTCTATATCAATTTCTTGTTTACTCGTTGAACCTGTTTTCTTTCTCTTCATTATGAAACAACTAAACAATTTATTTGGAAATACGTATCTTCTGTTCAAAAATTAAACGAGCCATTATAGGTCCTTAGCGGTAAATCATATTAGTTCTGTGCTACAAGAGAAAAAAACAACACACCGCACGACATCTTAAAGAAGGCGTGAGTTTTTCCATTTAACATGGTGGCCTTCGTAACATGTGATCATAAATTGTGAGGGGCTAGCTCAATGTATGGAACGGCAATTTTCCCCAACATAAAAATTACAATGAATGTGACTTTTGCATGTGTGAATGAATGTAATATGAAAATGGAGATTTCGTGAAAAATAAATATTAAAAAAGACAGGTTCAACAAGTAACCCAAACAAGTTTCTTTTGTCTTGGTCTGTTTTCTTTTACGGATGATATATGCGTCTTCTCTGTTCTTGGCAAGTTAACATCAACGTTTGGATATCATCGAACATGGCGTTTGGTTCATAAGGCGCAGTGTACCGGGCAAATGGCTGGCCATCGTGATCTATTAATATCTTTTCAAAATTCCAGTTGATGTCATTGTTCCGAACAGGTGACCAGCGGATGTTACTCAGGTCATCTATGAACCCGTCTGGGGCGGGACAACGGGACTGAAGAGAAAGAATGATACAAATAATTCAATGATCTTGCAGAAATGAATTGAAACATATCTGTGGCTTGTTCAAGGCTCTCAGTCAGTGAAGACCAGCCGAACAGTAAGTGGACGACAAACGACGGCTGCGGTTGTCGGGGAAGCGACCTCCAGACGGAATGTCTCCTTACACTATCTGTTTCTTTATTTGTTTTTTTAATTTTTTTTCGCCTGTCCCCCGCCGTTTTTTCGAACTCCTGTTTTCTTCTCGTTTTCCTTGAATGTGACCTTGGTTCATTACTGATTTGTGGCTTTGTGTTGGTGGATTCCCTGTGACTGCTCGGAACTCAACAAAAATTGGAATGCAAGCAAAGTCATCACTGTCAATGGGACTAATGAGCATTTGCCCTGCTCGCGAATCTTGCTTTTTTTTTTTATTTTGGGATTTAAGATTTCTTTTAATAAAAAGAAGCCTCCTGAAAACATCTTTATTTATGTTTTTCAGCGCCGTGCTCAGATGATTTTTTCTTTTTTTCATTACTTTTAAGGGTGATTGCAGAGGCGGCAACGAGCGTTTTTAAATGAGCGCTTGGCAAAAAATGCTAATGATAATTTTAAAAAATGATAAAAATAGTAGGAACCTTTGCATCTGGGCATTGACTTGCTCACTGTCCTAACGTTGAAAACAAATGTCGAGTGGAAAGGGAAATATATATACGCCTTTCACTCTATGAACTGTGACGGACGACATACTTAAATACCGAACTAACAACAAAGATTGAATAGATACTCGATAGCGTCGCTGAATATATTCCGAAAACCTCATGAACGAAAATCCTAGAACGAATCGCACGTTTGTGATGAACTCAAAAACCAAGCAGCGTACGTTTCCTTTCCTATAGCTATCATTGGTGAAGAAAATATCTTATTCCTAGAGTCGAAGATGTATAATACTACGCGTGCTTTCTGCATGAATTTTATTTAGATTTAAGGCGTCTGTTTCCATTTGAATGATTACGCCTTTCATAATGAAATATTCACGAAAATAGGTTGGTTAACTTTGGTTTTGAAATGATCAGTTCGTAACTCATATTGTGATTTAGCTTTTTCCTCTGTGTGTGTTGTGTGTAGTGTGACAAGTGCTTCCCTAAACAAAATTTTCGTGCGCCAATTTCTCAGACCTGATTTTATCACTTCATCATCTGTTCATATTAGGGTGATCAATCATGCAAAATAATGCTGTTCTCTTTAGATGCCATGAATGTATAACATTTCAACGCCTTACAACAATGTTCCTTGATCATTGATGGAATTAAACCTTTATAAGACTAAAAGGAATATAGCTCATACGAACTCACCTTAAAAAAACTATAAATTTTGTCTTCTTTCTTGCCATTCACGTCTCGTTTCTCGAACAATGGGAAATTGGGAACGAAACCGTGTCCTGGCCGAACATATTTCAATCCGTTCATGAGCTCGTACGAATTTTCGGCCGGCTCTTGGAAACCAAACTGGTTACATGGAAAACCAACAATTCGAAGTCCACATGCATTTGGGATTCCATCTTCTGATCTCCAGAGTTTTTTTTGTAATGCATTCAGTTGATAATATTGTAAAGTGTAACCTCAAAAGGTAGCGACATTCACAGCCAGCACAACATGTCCGTGAAATTCGCTCATAGAGACATTTTTCCCATACAGATCTTTCGCAGTGAAGTCGTAAAAAGACTCCGCACTGTTAAGATGACAAAGGGACCTTGATTTACGTCTCTGAGAGCCGTTCAGCCCGCCTATAAAAAGGCAAAAAACGGCGAACAACGACCAAAGATCACTCATCGTATCCACTCATCCGCACAGATGCAGAAAATATAATTGAAGATTGAGGGCGGTTATTTTCATGTAAATGACCTAAGCTACGCAAGAGATCAAAGCTCTCTACACCTGTCTCAAAATTTGACAAATAAGATAGATTTATCTATTTTTCTTCTTCCTGAATGGACAGTTTTTTTACCAGTAAAATTAATTCTACGAAACATTAAACCGACAACTGAAGTGGCAACAATAAAGTCATTGGAAATAAAATGAAACTTCTCTCGGAGATGAAATAAAAAAGGGTCTGGTCAACTAATATCAAATATCACCTTTAGTACATTCAGTACCACAATATTTGAAGAAAAGATTGGATTCCGCATTGAAAACATTTAAGCAAATAATGAATATTTTCTCGGGTGTGTGTTGGTTACTAGGGTGTTATTATTTTCTCATGTCAGTTCAAATCAAGAAAATTCTAATGTCTCGACCATTAAGAAGTTAGGACTGAGAAAGGGTAATTGCACTCTCAAAAGAAGATTCACGTGGCCTCGAAAAATCACAATTTTCCCCGTCCAATTATCAAGTAAAACTAATTGAGCTTTTAATTGATTTTTTCAAAAATCCTTTTTCTTAAATTTTCAATAATCGCCTCCTACAGAACCTGCTACCCACAGCGATCGATATCGCGCTAAACTCTTTTTCCATCTACACTGTAAATAATCGTTGGGTCACTAAATGGAAAGTTGCTTTTCGAGCGACAATAGCGCCACCGGTCTGTAAGTTCGAAGCAAGGACTACAGCTTATGTTATTTTATTTTCTATTAAATATTACAATGCCAAGTGTCTCAATTCTCATTTGCGGTAAATAAAAAATCCGAAAATCGTTCAGGTGTTTAGCATTTCGCGTTTGTGATGGTCATTATCTCTGACGCTTGTTTTCTTGCTTCTTCGTCTATCACTAGGAACATTTCATTGCCAAGCCGAACCCTTGGTATGTTTCTTCTCTTTATGCCGACTCTTTTTTTAACACCAATCTTCTCGTAAAAGGCAACCAATTCATTTTTGCAGCCTCCGATAATTTCTTTCGCTCCGAGACTGGAAGCTACTTGTAGTGCGTATGCACACATACTCTTGCCCAGGCCCTGACCACGAAACTCGGGCTTTACAATAAGGGAGGACAGCGTAACGTTATGAGCTATACTTGATGTAGGCGTCTCCAATATTTCAAACTCGTCGATAACTTTCGGATTTAGCAGCGATGGATCTAAACCAGCAACCTCCATAGACTGTTGAACTGCGGGAAACGGCAATCCCATCTTCAGCATTCTTATAAATTTATTCAAGTCAGGTGGCCTAGAGGCGGAAGTCTCTCGTAAAACACAATGAGCGATAACTTGCTTCACTCCATCGAACGTCCCCAAAGCAACCAAATGACAGGGGAAGGCATCACGTGACTCGATCATACTGGATGTACGCACATAGTTGGGTTCCTCAATACCCTCCGCGGTCACAGGTACTGACCACTCTGACGTCACGAGAGACGACGCATCTTTGGTATACTGCGGCACAACGTGAAGTTTGTAAAACTCAACATTGGTAATACGTGCAACATGGCTGCGTTTATACCAAAACCAGCGGATGGCCATGGTTAAAATGGCTACACCCCAAGGGACACTGTACCCCATAACTACACCAACACTCACAAGTACCACACAAAGCATCAAAAACGACAATTGTTTTCCGTTTGCCATTATGCAACTTCCAGATGTATACTGCTACTGCAGCTGGCACAAAATTCCTGAAAAAGGGAAAGAAAAATTTAAAATAAAGAGACTATACGTTTTAGGAGGATTTTGATTGTTTCACGATAACATTTACGTTATCACCCCAAAAGCTCTCAAACTGCAATATTCCTATGATCCCCCTAATGTTGGCAGTTGAGTGCCAGTCAATTCCAGTCCCACCTTTATAATACGCTGGTGACGACTGTTCCCCTCCTCCGTTCTCCCTGATAACCATGTGATCTCCCCCAAAATCCTTTAAACCCCACCCAGGCGATGAACTTCCTTTACGGCAACCACTTTTAGCTGATTATAGACATTAATCACGGAAAGTGCATTGGAGTTCACATCGAGGAGTACATTACGCGTGACAGCGGAGACATCGCGACTCACGTGCCTCTTACGTCTTAGTAATCTCATTAGAAAGGCAAGAAAAAAAATCTTTCATAGGAAGTACGATTCGACGTTCTCGGAAAATCTCGTGCAGTTCCTTGACGAAGTTATTTGAGGTCTTCTTTCGAATGTTACAAGCTCGTGCGCGCATGTAATTTTCCTTTGCGCAACTTCTGTGCAGACAATAGGAAAGCCGGATAAACAGGCATCCTGGTTCATTTCCGGGCGTTGCTGCTCAAGTCAGAGTTTTCTTGTGGTAACAGAGAGACCAAGATGCCATGAAAATTTCCCACATCGGCTACAGAGATTGCGTTTTGCTGATGTGAAGGGTTCTTAAACCGCCCTTGGATTCAGGTTTCAAACAGTTAGTAAACACAAACGAATTAGTGTAATGTGCCAGATGATCAAGGTTTCTAGGATAGCCCCCGAAGCTTTGCAAGCAGTTCGTGTTGTCCTTAAGTATAAGATGAAAGATTGAAGTTTTTTAAGAAAGGACCACGTCAGCGCTGCACGAAATTGTGTGCAGATATCCTGGCTACGCCTCTCTCTGCTCTGCTCAAAACTGGGGGGGGGGGG